CTTCTGGTAAGACTGATCAAGAGAAAAAAACAGAAGGTACAAATAAACAATATTAGAACAAAAGAGAGGATATAACTGCCAATGCAACAGGGATTTTTAAAAATATAAATATTTTTAAGAACTTTATGCAAATAAATTTGAAAAGTGATGTCAAATAGAAAAATTTCTAGATAACCATAACTTAAAAGTGACAAGTAAAAATAGCAAACTGGAGTGATTAAATAATTATTTAAAAGATTGTATCAGTTAAAATATTTCTTACGAACAAGACGCCAGACCCCAATGTTTTTACATGAAAATTGTGCCAAATATTTAAAGAACAGGTAGTTCCTTGGACAACTTCTGTCAGAAAATGGAATGAAAGGAAATAGTTCTCACTTTATTTTATGACATCAATATCAAACAGGGAAACATGAGAATGGAAAAATACAGGCCAATCTCATTCATGAACAAAATGCCAAATTCCTAAACTAAATATTAATGAATTAAATCCAAGCAGTTTTTATCCTAGGGCTGAAAGATTAGTTCAATATAATAAAAAGTCTCTAATGTATTTCACATTAACAGATTAAAATATACAATCAACATGTCATCTCAGTGGACACAGAATGCACCTTGAATAAAATTCAGTATCTACTCATTTAAAAATAATCCTATTGGCAAATTAAGAATAAACTGATCTTCCTTAACCTGTTAAATGATATCTACAAAAAACTACAGCAAACTTACTCAATGGTGAAACTTTAAAAGCATTCCCTTTAAAATTAGGATGAACATAAGAATGCACACTATTAACATTTCTACTCAACATTGTACTAAAAATGGTGTGAGTGTATTAGAGGTAGGTCTTAGCAGTGCGGTGATATACGAAAAAGCAACTACAAAAAAAAATTTAAAAATAATAAAAAAAGATTGGAGGGGAAAAAAGATAACTCGTTTATATACAAATTAACAAAGCTGATAAGTTGATCAGGTTTGCTAGTTACAAATACAATATACAAAACCCAATTATATTTATATAAATTAGCAATAAACTGCTATAAAATGTAATTTTCTAAAAAGTTATCATTTACAATAGCAAAAAAAATAAGCAACAACATTTCTTACGATATTGTGCAAGCCATTTTAAATGACAAAACTTCCCTGAAATAACACGAAAAACTCTAAATAGATAGGGAGAAAAAGATGTTAATTCTCCTTAAAGTGATCTACAGGTTGAATGTAATTCTAACCAAAATCCCAAGTTGTTGTTTTTTTTCGTGTGTGTGTATGTGTGTGTGTGTATAACTTGGTGTAACATGATAAGCTGATTCCAAAATTTATTGGGACAAAATTTTCATTTCATTTGATTGCATTTAATAAGCAACAACTAGAAACGATCTAAATGCTCATAAACAGTAAGATGGATAAATAAATCGTGGGGTATTAACAAAATGTAATATTACAAAGCAAGGAGAATAAACAAGCTACAATTACATGCAACAATAATATAGATGGCAAGCAAAACATACAGGTGAGTGAGAAAAAGAAGTCACAGATGAATATACACAGCTATTCAAGTGCTTTACAAGTTAACACGAGGTCAGACAATTAAGTTTGCGAACTCGTCCTAGAAAAAGTGCTACATACCTTATCGCTGAATATCACTATGGTCACCTTCGAAGTACTCCCCTCAGGAAGCTATGCACCGACACCAGTGCCTAGTCCACCCTTCAAAGCCATTTTGGCACTCTCAGACAGTGCCATGTGAGCTGGTGCGTTGTCATGATGCAAGAGCCATGAATTGTTGGTGAAAAGTTTAAGTTGTTTTCGTCTAACTTTTTCACGCAGCCTTTTCAGCACTTCCAAATAATAAACTGGGTTAACTGTTTCTCTAGTTGGTACAAATTCATAATGAATAATCCCTCTGATATCCAAATAGGCTAGCAACATTGTTTTGACTCTTGATTTGGACTGATGGATCTTTTTTGGTTGTGGAGAATTGGCTGACTTCCATTGTGCACTTTGACGCTTTGTTTCAGGGTCGTATTGGTACACCCACGTTTCATCACCAGTGATAACACGGCCCAAAACAGCATCTTGCCTCTCCAAAAGGTCTTCGTAAACTTCGACTCTCCTTTGCTTTTGTTACGTCGGGGAGTTCCTTCAGGACCATTTTTGCATACACCTTTCTCAAGCCAAGATTTTCAGTTAATATTTTCCTAACTGTATCTCTATCGATGTTTACTTGGTCTGCTATGCTTCTCACAGTCAGCCGACAATTTTGATGCACAATTCGGTGAATTTTTGCAATGTTTTCATCAATTCTGCTCATTACTGGCCACCCTGATTTCACTTCATCAATGACGCATTCTCTCCCCTCAGAAAAATGTTTAATTCATTTGTGCACTGCCATTTTCTTCATGGCATTATCCCCATAAACTTGGGCTAACACTTCCCTGATTTCACTTCCACTCTTGCCAAGTTTCACAAGAAATTTAATGTTTGTTCGTTGCTGTGAGTCAAGCTCAAACATTTTCGCAACGGCACACAAAAACATGCAACAACAATAATGAATGCCACTCTGCAAGACACCACCACACGTCGACATGAACACAGCTGTGAGACACTGATATACCAAGGTTATGAAACCTTACTGAGCTGTTTGGACAGTGCTGCCATTGAAAGCGCATGGTGGCAAGATTGCGAATGTAATTGTCAGTCCTCATACATTTAATCCTCAGAACAACTTCATTAAGGGGTTGTGTATCTCCTCTCCCCCACCACTGCCTTTGGGGTCAGGCAGGTCTTCTAGAGAGAATGCTCCAAGCAAAAGATGATTCAGATATTTGTGGGGTAAATAGCCTGGCCTCCCCAGAAAAAAAAAGGTGAGGCAGGCATTGCCCAGGGCAGGACGTGGCAACTGCTACCTAAGTGTATTGCATCTGTGCTCTGACACAATTCAATCAATCACTAATGAGTTTTGTACACACAGAGCCCTATGCTTGGCTATGGTGAGTGGTAGAGTGGAAATTGCACAGAGTGACCATTTACTGAGTATCTGCTATGTGCTGTGCTCTGGGCTTGATACTGAAGATTTGATGGGCAAAAAGACCACACACCTACCTTCTTATTTAAATAATCATAACTAATATTTATTGAGTGCTTACTATGAACTGGACACTATTATATTATATGCATTTTATATTACTCAGCTCTCTAATCTTCACAACACCACCATTACTGACTTCTTTTTACAGTTCAGAAAATGGAAGCACTAAGAATTTAAGAGACTTGTCCAAGGTCACAGAGGCAGGATCTGGGACTCAAAGTTAGGCAGCCTGAATCCAGAACCTCTGAATCACTCCAACATGGAAAGGTGGATATTAATCCTGTTTTACAGCTGCGGAAAGAGAGGCCCAGAACTAAAGTGAACACATGTTTATTTTGCACACTTTATGTGACAAACTATATTAGATGATTTATGTATATTATTTCTCCAACCTGAAAGACATAGTTTCCAGAAATATAAGGGTCCAAACTTTGGAGGAGTGAGGTATGCAGACAGTGATTTGCCTGCTTGCCAGCTAAACCCAACAGCTCCTTAGAAAGGATAAAGAGTGGCTGGATTGGTGAAGGTGGAGTGTAATTCTGTCTCATCCAGGTTCCTAGATCTCCAGATGAGTGAGTAAAACTGCAGGTGGAAAGGAGAAGGGAGGAGAACAGGAGGCTGGGTTTTCTCCCCCTTTCTCTTCTTCTTCCATCCACACTCTACATCCTATACACTACATTTAACATCCACAAATTGGTAGTTACAAAATAGTCACGGAGATGTAAAGTACAGCATAGGAAATATAGCCAATAATACGGTAATAACTATGTATAGTGCCAGGTGGGTACTAGACTTATTGGGGGATCACTTCATAAATTATATAAATGTCAAACCCCTATGCTGTATACCTGAAACTAATATAAAATAATATTGACTATCAACTATAATTGGAAATAAAAATATATATAAAATAAAGTGAGAACAGTTACAGCCAAAAACCACAACAGAACCATCCTACATCTTCCTGTATCCTCTAAGCAACTACCTCTCCCCCAGCTAGCTCTTACCCTAGACCTCGTCTACATTAGCATCGTGGAAGCTTGGTCAGCTGGTTCTTGAGATGTCTGGGTCCTACAGTCCACAGCTGTCTTATCTCCAACCACCTTCTGGCTCCTCAGGCCATAATCCTTGGGCTGAAATCACCTTGGTCCACAACTGTTCCCTGTTATCTATGGGAAATGGTATACTCCAGTTTCTAAAAAAATATATTTACAGGTTTTGTTAGCTTTTCCTTTGCCTCTTTCTTAAATTTTCCTAGTGAACATTACATCAACAGGCTGTCACTAAGAAGACTGTCTTCTTCCTCTCTCTGGGTAGAGCAGCAAGTGTTCATATGCAGGAGACAGGACACCCAGACTTTCCCAACCCAGTCAGATAGATTTATTAGAAGAGGCTTGAGAAAGGGGACAGGCAAACTCACCAATGACATGTCACTGTTGTGTACCCAGCACCTGTCCCCTGAGAAACGATTCCAGGAATCATCACCTTATTTCACCCAAGCACTATCAGACAGGAAAAGTTTTCATACACTTTACCAAAGTCACCAAAATGAAACATTTTAGGCTAAGCATGGAACAGTTCCAAAGTAGAAATGTCAAATTGCACATAAGAAGCATTCCAAATAAACTCTGGATGAGAAAAAGTTCCCAGTCAAAAATCCCTCTGATTAAATGGTCTTTACCCAATCCTCATTCTTTCTCTGTCTTCATTTCTTTTTGTCTTCCTCTCATTCTTTTTCTACCTTTTCTGACACTAGCCTCTTGTTATCCTATAGCTACTTCATCCACCTGCTCTTTTATTCAAGCTTTCAGGTTGGGGTGGGAATGGATGGGGGGTATGTCCTTTGCTCTCCTTCTATACCCACTTTATCACCACCACCTTTGAGCCCACGAGAGCAAACCCCACTTACAGCCCCTTCTCCGTTGCAGCCCGCTGCTGCCACTGCTGTGTGGAATCCAGATCTTCTGCAACCTCGTTTGGGTGAGCTCTCCCATCTGTCGAGACATCTTAGGTGTCACAGCTAATGACAACACTGTCCAAAAGGTACCGGACCTCACTTCCTATCTTGCTGCCTCTTTTGGTGCTGTGGCCACAGACGCAGGTGGACAGAGTTGGGACAGTGAGGTGCGCTGGGCTTCTGAGCCCTCTGGCAGCCTGTCTCCAGCCTCCTCTCCTCTTTCCTAGCCCTTGCTCGCCTCTGCTCATGTGTGTACCAGTGGGGGCTTGGGTGCAGAGAGGGAGAGGTTGGACAGAGGTCAGTAGAGGTCTCTGAACTCCAAGAGCTGTGTACATAGGAGATAAGTTCCTTCCAGCAAGGAAGGCAGCCAGCAAGACAGCCCAGGTCTGGCCAGTCACTTCCCTCCAATGAAGACAGGACTAGTAGAGTATGCAAATAGAAGACCAAAGATCATGTGCTTACATCCTGTGTGGGATAGGGAGACAAAGGTGATGAAGGCAGGTCTCAGCAGCTTTCGCAGCTTTGAAATAAAATAATGGGCTCAAGTAGAATGCAAAGTTTCAACCGGGAAACAGAGATCCACATCAGAAATGCAAGTTTCCCAAGCACGAATATGCAAAGTCCCCACTGAAAAATGCAATGTTTTGACCCAGCAATCAAAGGCCCAAACTGGAAGTGGAAGGTTCACTGTCTCATTGCCCCACACTCCCCCACAAAATGGCATTGAAACCCTTCTCTTTCCCTGAATTCTGCTGCTGTTCCTCTTGCAGGTCCTCTCCCTCCTAAAATGTGCTGCCGGGGCACTCTTGGAGAGATGAGCACTAACTGATCATCTTTATGCTCTCTCCAGCCAAGGCTAAATAAATCCGAGTAAACCTGACACCTCTAGGGGAGAGATGGTAAGCGCTGCCCACATGGCTGCCAGCTGCAATCAAGTGCCCTAGGGAGAAAGGCATTGTGATTTGATCCGGAACCTGGCTAAAGATCCTCATGCCAAGCCATGGGGATGGAGGTTTAGGGTGGAGGCTGCAGCAGGTAGAGTGTGGGGAGCAGGGAGCAATGGCCTCAAAGTAGGACATCCCACTCAGATGTCTCCACTTTACCCTCCGTCACCCCCTGGTTGTGTTGAGGCTTTCATTTGTAGAACTCATCTAATGGCACAGCTTACCTGGAAGATGTCCAAGTGTGCTCTTACTTCATTCTTTTGCAACCTTCCCACCCCTAATGAACCTCCAGTGATTGGCTATGAGGAAGCTCAACTTTCTTCCACTGAGCTTGGCTGCACAGGGGCAATCTGTTATGGGTAGAAATCTCCACTCCCTTCCCTCCAATGATTTCAGCTCCACTTTGCCTTTTAAGAAGTTCCCTAAAATACATTCTCAGTGTCCTAGTCTACACAAGGGTTAGATTCCCTCCAGTTGTTGTGTATAAATCATACCCAACTTTCAAAACATTTCAGAGACTGCCCATGTAAATGAATCTAGTGAGGCTGTGGATCACAGTGGTTAAGAACAACGGGCTCTTGGAGCCATCCTACCCGAGTGGAATCCCACCTCTGCCCCTTGTTATGAGACCCTGTGCAGAAGACCTAACTTCTTAGTGCCTTAGTTTTTTCATCTGTTAAGAGTACCTACCACCTTAGGGTTGTTGAAGATTCAACATGTTAATACATGTAAAGCAACCTGGGAAATGCTCGATATATATCACCTAACACTGTGACTCCCTCTGTAAAGTAAATGATCAGTCACCTTTTTGGCTAATCTACAACTTCTAATGTAATGCTGAACATACAGGAAATACTCAGTAAAGGAAACTTACAACATTATGACAAAGGGTTGACATTTATAATAAATAAAGAGCTCCTACCAATCCACTAAAAAGATGAAATCATTGTTACATTTTGGGTTTTGTGAAACAGAAGTCCCCTAGAAATCACTTCATCCAACCCCCTCAGGTGAGAAAATGGAGGCCTAGAGAGGGGAAGTATTTTCCTAAGGTCCTGCAGCAAATAAGTCACCAAGTCAGGATAGAACACTAGGGACCTGATTTCTCCAATCCAGGGATTTCCTTTGGTTAATTGATCAATCTAGCTTGATTTAAGAATGTGGTCTTCCAGATTAGCTCAGAATTTTTAAAGTCTCAGAACTAGACTTTGAAAGCTATATAACTCTCTTAATCCTAATAAGTCTCTTAATAAGTATCACTCTGCTAATGCTAATAGTCTTAATAACTCTTTACATGTATATTTTCCATGGCCTACGAAGCAACAACATATTTCTTATCCTTACAAACATTCTCACAAGCCTCACAAGGAAACTGAGGTCTAGGGAGGGGAAGTGGCTTGTCCAAGGTAATTGAGCCAGTCACATGAACCCTCTTCTATGTTTACAATTTTGTCCCCATGATCCTGCCAAGAGGCAGAAAGATAATTTTAGCAGCAGGAAATCTGAGATAGGAGGTTAGCGGGGTTTTGGCAAGGTCTGAAAGGGTAAACCTAGGGTTTTGGCTTGAAAACCCAACTTAAGACTGCCTAGAACTAGCTTTTTTTCTTTTCTTTTACTATTACCAATTCTGGTCCCAGAAGCAGGAGAACTAAACAAGCTTTATGGAAATGCCTCGGGAATGCCTCAGCCTGGCTCTTGTCAATCAAGCCCCAGAATGTTTCTCCAGCCATATCTCTCTTTAGACCCCAATGCTTTAACTGCACCATGGGGCCCCAAAACATGCCATGTACTTTTTTTCCCTCTGGGCCTTTGTTTAGTCTAGAATGACTTATCTTCACTTCCATTCTCAACTAAATATGACTCACTCTTCAATGCTTGGTTCCATGTTCACCTCCTCTGAGAAGCCTTCCCTGTGTTTATCGGACAGGCTTTGTCTTTGGTTCTCAAATTACCTATATGCTTCTGTCTATCAGAGCAAGTATCCATCCATGTTTTACTGATCTACATCCCTACTGTGAGCTCCTTGAGAATGGGGACTGGATATCAGTTATCAGTGGTCTGTGTTTCCAGTGTCCAGCTAAGGCCCTAGCACAGAGGAGACACTTGAGTGTTTGTACAATCTATATCTCATTGCCCTAGATGAGGTGAACATGTAGACAAATAATCCCCATTCAACAAGGTAAATGTTATACAGAGAGCTATACAGGGCACTGGGTAGGGGAACTAACTTGGTCTGAAGGTAGAGGTGGCATCTAGAAAGTTTCTCAACCTTAAATGGTGCAAAGCAGAATAAACAAAAGAATCAAGTTTTCCCTGAAAAGGTCTAATTAGCTGGCTAAAGAAAAAATGACTCAATCATTATCAGAGACTCACTTAAGACCAAGAGCTAAACCACAAATTATACAATGGGTTTAACTCTGGGGAAGAAAAGCATACAGTGTGACTTCCTGAGGCCCACAGATCCGGACCACCCTCCCAAAATACAGGGTATATGCAAGAATACAATTAAAAGCAGTATCAAGATAGGACTGATGGGTAAGAAATCACCAATGTGGTCTCCCTATCAGTAATTCTTTGAGTGTGATGTGTGAATGCATTTGTAGGGGTATAAGGTGCAGAGGGGCGATTGGCCACATGCTTATAGGTCAAGAGCCTATATATAAAGTATAAGGTATTTTGTGGCAGCAGCCTAGAATCCATTTCCTTCTTAGCTACTGCCTTAGCCCACCATCCCCCCACTATTTTCAGCCCCATGCCTGGGGCCCAGTGCTCAGTGTATCCTAGTCCTTGATGTGGCTCTTCACAGACCATAGTCACTCAGGGAGAAGAGCAGATAGAGGTTTGTGGGTGGTATTGGAGGCTACAGAAAAAGCAGGATCACTGATCTCAGACAGAGCATAGAAGTCCTGAAAGATCTCCAAGGAGCTCGGGTTCCTGTCCTCCCACTCCTCTTTACCTTGAGACAGCCCTCTGAGGGAAGTAGGCTAAAGACTTCAATTTCCATTTTAGTGAGGAGGCTATTGAAGCCCAAAGGAGCGAAAAAGTTTGTTCAACATGCCATAGCAAAGCAGCCCTACCTTATACACCAGGGGATGTAAGAGATACAATTTCTATCATCCAGCTCATTCAAAACTGAAGGAGACCAAGTTAGAGACTTCTAAAGGTACTAGGGGAACTGCCCTTTGGGCCAGTGTCTGATAAAGGCAGGACAGAATAGATGATAGATAGGTAGATAGATAATTAGATATAGATATCATCTTTTCCCCAACTTTCCCATACCCTTTAATGCACACTTCAAGTGACCACCTATGCCAAAACAAACAAAGAAACACACAAAGAAACAAACCTTTCCAGGCAGCCTAAAGAATAGATTTGGATTTGTGTAACTCCTATCTATTTTTCCTTCTGTCTCACCTACCTGCTCTCCTCGAGGTTTTTTCTTCCATTGCTAAGTATCCGACACAGGGCTCTCTTGCATTTAGACCCCCAAAGCAGATCCAGTGGGTGGCATCAAAGAGGAAGCCTGGAGCAGTTAGTTGGTTCCCTGGGAAGGCTGGGGAAGTACCCTTGGTAAGAGGGGGGTGTGTGTGCTCTGTTGAAATATCAGCTGTTATAGTTGCCAAAGAAGTTCCTGAGCCACTCGGAGCTTTTTCTCTTCAGGCCAACCATGTGTTCACCTTGCCCCAAAGGTCAGAACTAATATTAACAAGCTACTGCAGAATGGGGAAATTAAAACCAGCAATTGAGATAGGTAAGATCAGTATTTGGGGGGGGGGTGCTGAGTTTCAGGCTGGTCTTCAGTGTTAAGTGGACACAATCCCTTACTGGAAAATGATTTGGCAATATGAAGCAAGAGAAATAAAAATGTTCATTTCCTTTGTCCTAGTTGTCACACTCCTGGGAATCAATCCTGAACTAATAAACACCAAAGCATGAAAAAGCTCAAAGCACCAAATTTTTTATTTTATTTGCAGAGGTACTTTCTGATGGCAACAACTGGAAGGTAGCCTTTAAGTCCTCCAGGAGGAAAAGCAGCTCATTGGGTCTTTACTGCAGACATTGAGGATCATGAATTTAAGGCTATGGAATTCGGGGGAGGGGGGACGGGGAAATAATCACGCTGCAATTCTGGGTGAGGAACCTAAGGTTGCAAAGTTATGCCTTTCCCTGTACATTGGACACGTCTATTATTTCTACGTTTGTGTTCTCAAAAAACATGTCACTAACCTGTTGATGCTCTTGTTGTTGTCCTTAGTTTGTTCATCATTCAACAAATATTTATCGACTTCTCTAATGTATGTTGCCCCCCATATTAGGGGATGGGGCTAACAAGATGAAACAGGCATGGTCATTGCTCTCACGTTGCTGGCAGTCTAGTGACAGAAATAGAAATCAATGGTAGCTGTGCAATGTGGTAAGTGCTGTGACAGAAGGGACCATAGGACGTAGTTGGGGCCCAGAGGAAAATATCTACCTGGGGAAGTGCATGATTAGAAAAGACACTTACTGCAGAAAATATTCCCTGAGCTGATTAAAGTTTGAATTCTGACTCTACCACTTCTGTGAGACTGGGTTGAATTCACTCAGCTTCTCTTACTTAGCCTTAATGACCCTTAAAAGGGTTGTTCTGAGAATGAAATGAGATAATGCATATGGAAGAGTAACGGGCTACATTGGGAAACAGTGCGATTTTGGAGCTTGGGAAGCCCACTTAAATTCTCTGGGCTTTGATTTTACTCATCTGAGAAATGGAGCCAAGAGAAAGTATTCGTCAGGCCATGTCCTTAGGGATGTTATAAGGCCCAAGACAAATAATGGCTACAGGGCAGGCTTGAATCAGCCTCCACTCCCCCCACCACCCCGCCTAATAAAGCCAGAGGCCCTCTCCTGTCTTATTTTCCTAGAGCAGTTCTTACTGCTCCCTCCCGCAGCCCGCGAAATTCCCTTCGCGCGCCCCCGTGTTCCAAGCAAGCAGTTACGTCGGCTATTCCCCAGGGCGCAAGCGCCGCAGCCATCCGCGCGCGCACTTGCGCGGCGTTCTGTCGCACTGGGGGCGGGGCTTCGGTCGCTGCGCGGTTCCGCTCCAGGCTTCTTTACTTAAAAGTGGTGAAATTCCATTTGTAAGTAATCGGATGCACCAAAGGGACTTTTGTGCAGAGCAGAAACGCAGTCAGACTAAGGTGCGTGGGCCAGTGAGCGGCGGAAGTAGCAGGAGGCCAGCTACAGGCCTTTCCTCCGCCACTCATTCCTCCTAGGCATCTGCACCGCCCCCTTCAGCTTCCGCTACTTTCGCCAATGGGAACTGAGGGGCTCGAAGTCCCGCCCCACGTGCGTCTGACTCTTTCGTGGCACGCACGAGAACGCCTGCACGAACGCGCGCGGATGGCGGGACCTGGATGAGTTGGGACTGTCCGGCAGTTTTGTTGTCCCTAGGTTCGGCGCGGGCTGGGAGGCATTGCGGTGTGCTGTCAAGATGTTGCGCGTGGTGAGCTGGAACATTAATGGGATTCGAAGTCCCCAGCAAGGGGTGGTACACGAGGAGGCCAACTGTACCACCATAGACATGGGGCGCATTTTGGACAAGCTGGATGCTGACATCGTCTGTCTTCAGGAGACCAAAGTGACCAGTGAGCGCTCAAGAATCCAGGACTCCTACCATGCTTTCCGCTAATTTTTTCCTCCTGCTCCATCTCATCTCACTTTCCCATCTTTAGAGTCTTCCCCTTAGACCCAGCTCAGAATCCTGATCCTCTCCCCCTTTAAGCCCCTTTTTCTCACTTCCGCTACACCTCCTAATTGCCGCTTCATCTCCTGTGCTCAGCAGATCCTAATTCCCTGTCCCTTGCAACCTCAATCCTCGCTCAGACCCTCTAATTCCAACTCATTCTCCCGCCCCTGATCAGTCCCCCTAATTTCCTCCCTCCACACTGTCCATCTCCCACTCCCAAGTCAGACTCCCCAGTTCCTCCTTCCTGCCCCCAGCTCAGATCCTTTAATTCCCATCCTATATTTGCTCCCAGGTCAGAGTCCCCAATTTCCTCCCTTTTACATCTTTAAATCAGATCCCTGGTTCCCCGTATCACTACCCCATCTCTTCTCCCCAGCTCAGAGCTTCTCATCATTCGTACCTCATGTCCCACTACAAGCTTAGACCTCCTAATTACCTCTCCTTCCCACCCATCTCCCACCCCAGCTCACTCCCCTGATTCCTTCCCTCCCCCCACATACCCCCCCTTCTGAGATCCCCTTACTACTTTTCCTCCCATCTCCAGCCAGTTCCAATCTTCTAATTCACTCTCTCTCCTACCTCCTACCTCCAGCTCAGATTCCTGGTTCCCTCTCCCATATCTCCATTTCCCACCCCCAGCTCCCTCCTGTAATCTAGTCTCCTCCCAACTAATTCGCCACCTCCTATCCCATAGTTTCCCCCTCCTGATTCTGATATCAATTCTCTCTCTAGCCCCCACCTTTTTAGCTCCTCCTCTAATCACAGACACTTCATTTTCTTTCCCACCTCTGACGCTGATGTGTACAAGGAATTAGTCTACAACTGTAACTCCAGGCCTTTTTGTGTCCTGGGTCTTAGTTTTATCTCTGACATAATCTTCCATGTTTTTTTCCAGGGGATGTGCTGACAGAACCCTTGGCTATCATTGAGGGCTATAACTCTTATTTCAGCTTCAGCCGCAACCGAAGTGGCTATTCTGGTAAATGGGGTTTTCTGGGGACTTTAAATTGGTGATGGAGGCAGGTAGGGGGAAAGGGTTTCCAGTACTTTATGAGAAGGTAATAAGAAATTTGAGTTTTTAGCCCACAGAGCTAAAGCCATGTAAAACTATGTGAAGGATAAATGTATCCTATTGGACCTCAGAAGCACAGTAGTGTAGTAGTTAATTGTATGAGCCCTGGAGCCGGACTGCCTGGGTTTGAATCCTAGCTCCCTTCGTAGCTGTGTGCCCTCTGGCAAGTTACTTAACCTCTTTATGCCTCAGGTTCCTGAGCTGGTAAATGGAAATAATGCCTACCTCCTAGGGCTGTGACAGGGTTTCTACAAATTAGTCCAGGTGGGAATGATAATCGCTAACACCTTTTGAACATATCATGTATCCATGTACAACTCGTAGAATTTTAGCTGTTATAATTCTGTGGTTTTTGTAAATGAAATATTTGAGACTCCAGGGTTTGAGTACATTGTCCCAGGCTCTAGGGAACCAGCGATGGCCTTTCAGTTGGGAGAGTTGTCAATACAGCCGTGCTTGATGAAGATAACTCAGGTGAACTGTGTGGGGGTAACAGGCTGTGTAACAGTCTGTTGGCTGCCAGGCCTGCTCAGAGTACCCTGTCTGTCTCCAGGTGTAGCCACCTTCTGTAAGGACAGCGCTACCCCAGTGGCTGCTGAAGAAGGCCTGAGTGGCCTGTTTGCCACTCAGAATGGGGACGTGGGTTGCTATGGAAACATGGATGAGTTTACCCAAGAGGAGCTTCGGGCTCTGGATAGTGAGGGTCGGGCCCTCCTCACACAGCACAAGATCCGGTAATAGCCCACCTCCCCTTGTCACTGAGCACTGCTGGTTCTACTCTGTGAATGTGGGGATTCTGAGGCTAGGCATGCTTTCACATGGAAAACTTCCCAAACTTGACTTTCCTGGACTCTAGTCCTAGCTGGGCTACTCACTACGTGACCCTGAACAAATCATGTTCCCCTTTGAGCCTTGAGTTTCCTACCTCTACAGTGGGGGGATGACCGGGAGGTCCAGCTCTCTTGTTACCCCAGGCACCCCAAAAGCACCTTAGCCAATGCTGAACTCGTTACCCCAGGTTGCTCCCTTTATGGGTGTCTTGTCTTTGTGAATGGCAGTACTATCACCTGGTATACCTGGGTGTCATCCTAGATCCATAGTCAGTCAGTCCCCAAGTCCTGTGTACGCCAGCTCATTCACGTCTCTCTCCCCTTCCTTTGCACTCATTCCACAGACAACCATTAAGTGGAAGCCATGCAGTGGAGGGAGGGGAGGCTTGAAAATGACTCCTTGGGGGCGGGGGGTGTCTTTTCTCCTCAGCACATGGGATGGGAAGGAGAAGACCTTGACCTTAATCAACGTGTACTGCCCCCACGCGACCCCTGGGAAGCCTGAGCGGCTGGCCTTTAAGATGCAGTTCTATCGCTTGTTGCAGATCCGAGCAGAAGCCCTCCTGGCGGCTGGCAGGTACTGCAAGCCTGGGCAGCAAGGCTTCCTTGCGTTTGTCCTGGGTGCCCAGCCCTATGTCCAGCTCCATGGGAAGGATCTTTGTCTTTTGAGTTTCTTCACAGCCTAGTTGCAGACACCTATGCCTACCTGAATAGGCCCTGCTCTCTAAGAGCTGTGAGGAACAGGTAAAATGACCAAATATGGGTTTTGTACTCAGATACCTCTGAGCACCTATCCAGGCTCCTCTTACTGAGAGCCCTGAGGCTGGTCCTCCCTGTTTTCTTTTTTGTCAAATGCATGTTTGAATCCCTACCTGACAGAATAGTTTTAAGGTTGAAATGAGATGAAGAGGATCAAGTGGGAGCAAATAAAAAGTGTTGTCACAGCGCGGGACAGGCAAGTGAAGGTGGGTTAGAGTAATCAAGGGACACTTCCTAGAGGAAGTGGTACCTGAGCTCAACTTTGAAGGACCAGAAAGATGCCATTAGGTAGAGATCAGTGAGACAGTCATGCCAAAGTGGGAATGATGTCACCTTTGGAGGTCAGAATTGGGTTGGTCAGGTATAAAAGGCAGCCAGGTTATAGTAAGATTGGTGATGTAGGCTGCTATGAGTTGCTGTTGGCTTTCACCTTGGCCTCAGTGGGAGAGGTAGCCTATCTGAGCGTTTGGCCCAGGAGAAAGTAGATGGACCAGGACTCCTGCTTCCCTCTCTTGAATGTCCAGTTGACAATCCCATGTTGTGTTTTTCAGCCATGTGATCATTCTGGGTGACCTGAACACAGCCCACCGCCCCATTGACCACTGGGATGCAAGCAACCTGGTAAGGCTCTCTCAAGGCCCCTGGCCTCACTCGTGACTTGTTCTGTTCAGCCAGCAAACCGGTCCTTGTTTTTTGGCCCAGGGGCAGCTTCCTTCATGGAAAAGAAGAAATACTATTCTCAAAGCACTGAGAATTGTTCATTCATGCAATAGACATTACTGACCCTACCCTTGGCTTGGCCCTGAGCCACATGATGGGGACTCAGTTACCACTTAGTTCTAGCTCTTGGTCCCTCAGAGCTCGCAGCATGGTGGTAGGCTGTGGACACATGACCAGCCAATGATAGAATGGTGGTGTCTTCAGGGTGGAGGCAGAGATGGCAATCCAGGAGCTTAGGGAGCCCAGATGGGATTCCTGGGCAACCTGGACATCAGGGGAAGCATCTGAAAATGTCTGCATCTTAAAAGCTGATAGAACAGAGCTTTGGGGTGAGGAAAGCAAAGCATTCTAGCACGAGAAAAGGCTGCAAGGTGAGAATTTGCCTAGTGTGCATGGGGATTTGCAAGTTCCATTCTTGTTAGAGGGTGACATGGGAAGGGAGGTGAGTGGCAGGAGATGGGGCTCCTTTGGAGGGGAGATTTCAAGGGCCTTGAACTCCACATTGCCTTGATCATTTCCCTAATACACTATCTGTCCTGCTCATGAACGTTCAGTACCTCCCTGTTACCTCTGATGCAGAGAAAACATTCAGGCCTGGCATTCAAGCCTCTTTCTTGTCTGAGCTCAGTCTCCATTTTCATCTTCAGTACCCCTAAACACTGTCCACTCAAGCCAGGTCATCGTCTGTCTGCCAATTGAAAAGTTGTTCTGATTTTGGCTTTTCTCACTATATTCTGAATTGGTGGGCATGCCCTCCCTTCTGTCTTTTTTTCTGAGTCCCTCTAGGCCAATGGTTCTCAACGCTTGATAGCACATTAGAACAAGGAGCTTTTACAAAAATATCAATACCTTGACCAATTAAATCAGATACTGTTGGGGATGGGAGCCAGATAGCAGTATATTTTAAAAGCTCCCAGGCTGATTTTATTATACAGTCAGGTTTGAGAACCGCTGCCCTAGAATTTACAAGCCAGTTCTCATTTTGCCTTGCCTCATGAGTGGGGGTGATCAGTAACTTATGCTGGCATAGTTCAATTCAGCACTGGGCTTGGCTCAAAGAAGGGGCAGTAGGGACATTCCTTGATTATTTTGCAGAAAAGCCACGTAAATATACTCATGGCTCCCAGTGGGGAAGATGAGCAGAAATGAAATAATGGTGGTGGTAGTGGTGTGGTGGGGTAGGGGGTGTACACTACAAAGCAATAAGCCTTCAGTTCCTCCCTACTTCATTTCTCATCAGGCATTTACTCAGTCTGTTCTTTCTGCTGTGTGTGATAGTGTCATATACCTTTATGCCTTCTCGCCTTAGTTCAGAAGTATCTTAGATCTAAATGCACCTCCTACCTTCTTTCTTCCAGGAAAAGAGAACTAATAGTAGCAGGTCACATGACAAACACAGTCTTTCCAAAATAGCAGAATATATCCACTTCCCAGAAGACTGGCTTTTCTAGTCACCTCATCTCCCTAAATGGCACCTTCATCCCCTTGGCTACTCTAACCAGAAGCTCGGACATTGTGTTAGTATTGTCCTCTTGTACCCCTCTTCCCACATTCGATTGGTCAGCACGTACTGTAGAGTCTAGCTCCAAATCATCTCTTAATTTTATTTTTCTCTGTCTCCTCTGGCACTACCCTAGTCTTAGGTGACCACCATCTCTTATTTGCATGAATTAAAATAGCTATCTCCTACTGTTATTCTGGCTCCCAGTATGGTCTCCCCTAAAATTTGGGGGTATGCTGTCCCCTCCCCCCGACAAGCCCATCAGAGAATTTGTAACACCCTCTGCCTCGGTTATTCCTGCTCAGCCTTTACTTCTCAGCTCCATATCACTTCCTGAAAGGAAGCCTCATTGGTTCCCAGAACGAGATCAGGTTCCCACTTTGTCCCTCGCAACATACCTGGCACATCACCACTGTTCTTTGAATATTTGTTGCATTGAACGAGTGGGTGGATGGATTGGATGGATAGATGAACTGGGGAGCAGAGCCAGAGGAAGTATTCAGAGATGGATTCCCGGAGCCCCTCAGCTCAGGAATGAGGCATGGTCAGTGAGGGCCTTGACACAAGATAGGCCAAATAACGCCAGAGGATTTAAATGAAAAGGCAGCGATCTTCTTAACTCCTGGCCCCAGCCCTATTTTCTAGAGGGAACCATTTTTAACTTCCTATTTTCCATTCTTTTGGTGAGCAATTCTGAGAATTGCTTTGATTAAGCAAACAACAAATCAGTAAGGATGGAAATTGAATCCCAGCTCTGCCAGTTTTGGACTGTGTGACCTTGAGCAGCAGTCTTTGGAACACCCACATTGTCTTGCTGTAAAATGAAGCAGTTAGTCTAAGTCCCTTCCAGTTCTAGGCATCTAGTTCTGCCTCTTTCTTCATCCCGCTCCCCCTTCCCTAGGAATACTTTGAAGAGGACCCAGGACGCAAGTGGATGGATGGCTTGCTCAGTAACCTGAGTTGCCAGGCTGGGTCCCATGTAGGGCCCTTTATTGATAGCTTCCGCTGCTTTCAGCCAAAGCAAGAGGGGGCCTTCACCTGCTGGTCGACAGTCACTGGTGCCCGCCATCTGAACTATGGCTCCCGGATTGACTATGTGCTGGGGGACAGGACCCTGGTCATAGACACCTTCCAGACCTCCTTCCTGCTGCCTGAGATGGTGGGCTCTGATCACTGCCCTGTGGGTGCAGTTTTGAGTGTGTCCTCTGTGCCTGCAAAACAGTGCCCACCTCTTTGCACCCGCTTCCTCCCCGAGTTTGCAGGCACCCAGCTCAAAATTCTTCACTTCCTGGTTCGTCTCAAACAAGATCCTGTATTCAAGCAGTCAGCGCTGCCACTCAGCAATCAAACCCAGGTGCAAATGCGCCAAAACAAAGCCCGTGTGCGTTCAGCCAGGCCTCGGCCAAGTCAGGCTGGTTCCACCAGAGGCCAGAAACAACTGATGAGCTACTTCCAGTCATCTTCCAGCCGTCTCCAAGCTTCTTCTAACTTGGAGCATCCTAGCCTGGGCACCCTTGTGGCCGCAAAGACCCCAGAAGACAAGGTGATGGCCAAAGTGGTGGAGGGGCAGGCCAAGGCTTCAGAGGTCAAGAATGAGAAGGAGGTACCGACCTCGTTCTGGAAGTCTGTGCTGGGGGGGCCCTTGCCCATGCCCCTCTGCAAGGGCCACAGGGAGCCATGTGTGATGCGAACAGTGAAAAAGCCAGGACCCAACCTGGGCCGCCAGTTTTACATGTGTGCTAGGCCCCAGGGTCCTCCCACTGATCCCTCTTCTCGCTGCAACTTCTTCCTCTGGAGCAGGCCCAGCTGAACCAACCCATGTCTAAGGATGTCTGGCATGGTCAACCCTGTACGTGATCTGAGACCAGCACTCCTTAGCTGCCACCTCCTCCACCAAGTCTTCTTTCCCCTCCGTCCCCTCTGCCACCTTCCTCAAGGACCCTTCTGTTTTCTCTTCCTCTTCCTCTTTTAAGGCCTCTCTTCCACTCTCTTCTTCCTGCCAAGCCCCTCCTCATTGGTAAGCATTTTATACCTTCATGCCGTGAACCAGTCTCCCACCCCACTTCCTACCTTCTTGTAGGAAGAACACAGGAACCAGTTGCTCCAGGAAGATTTAAATCCTTTCCTTTCTTGCTGGGAAATGTATTTGTGCCTAAATAAAGCCTGTCTTTGTTTTAGCGTACCGTGTCATGTGGACATTTTGGTATGATCCGTGAAGTTGAGTCAGAGACATTACTTTACTATTGGGTCTGCCAGCTGCCTGTAGCCTGATGATGTAGCTCTCAGGGAGAGGGGAGGAAGGAGTGGTACTCGCTCACTATAAAGGGCTCTGCTGAGCTGTAGGGGTTCCCTGCACTGCTGAGGTTGGATCAGCATGGTAGGGTGGGGAGGGATGTGGTGTGCCACAAAGTTCAGGTGGCCTGTGTAGTCATAAGCCAGCACTTCCCAACTGGTGTGCCCAACAGCTGCCACAAATGGGTTATAGGGTGTAATGAAGTGGGTCCGTCAGCCCTAGAGTTTTCAGGCAGGGCCAAGAATTGCACTTTTCAGGAAAGAATGCCTACTAGGCAAGTAATATCATTAGTTCACCCAAGTGTGCCATGCAGATGTTTCTAGTGTGCTGAAACCTGGAAAGGTTGGGAGCATTGCCTTGAACAAGTTGCTTGCTATAGTTAGTTACCTTGGAAAATGGGGCTGGTAAGTCCTGCTCTGTAAGGTGTTGTGGGAAAGAAAGAGGATAATGGATTGAGGAAGACATTCATTCATTCCATCTGCTGGAAAATACCTCCAAAGTTTTGGGGAACTACTCTCCTCCAGGCAGTTTGGTTAGGGCTGACTCTCTCCTGGCTTTAGGGGCTACGTGAGGCCCAGGTTTCCAGCCTACCCATGAGAGTCAATCCCTGGATTTTTACCGAAAACATTGGGAAAGCCATTTTGAACAACCCTGCCAAGTGTCAGTTCTTTGTACAGCTCACTGTGTAGTTTTTGCCCCTTTCTGGATTTCAGTTTTCCTATCAATAAAATGGGGTGGTTAGACCAACAAGTGATTGTGGTTTCTTGGTTGCTCTGCCACTTGTCTCAGGGAGTCAGGTATTGTGCAGTTGTCTGTTCTCTGTTCAACAGAGGGCTACAAATGCTGCAGTTTGCTCTTTATTTTCAGACTCAAGTCAGCTAGAGGCATACAACAAAGCAGAAGACAGGAGGGGCGCAGCCTCAAGTGAAGTGCATGTGGGGTGGGGATCTGAAGAAGCTGGCTTCTCCGGCATAGGTGGTGACATACTGGGGCCCCATGTTCCCAAAATAGGAGCGTTCCCACTCACTCATGAGCTCGAAGTGCACAGGACGGCGACAGAAATTGCAGGAAGCCATAGACACATCCTGGATGGGCAGCCCCACCTCAGTCCAGGCTACCAGCAGCTTCTCTGAAGGTGGTGGGGGCAGAGGAGGGAAATAATTGGTTAGACTAGGTCTTAATCCCTGTGTCACAGTACAGATGTGCTAAGATAATGGATCCCCTCAACCCTTCAAGATGTCTTGCAACCAGTTTACTCCGCTGTGTACTATGAATGTTATCATTTGTGTATGGGTGCTGTGATGTATAAGAGATTGGGAAGCACTTATTTGACAGAATTTGTAGCTGTATTGGCCTGGCCTGGACTACTTCTGAAGTACAGGACATGCTGTGACCCAAGAAGTGAATCCATCTGCTTGGAAAGGCCTAGCCTGGTGAGGAAGATGACACTGACAGTAACTACACAGTGTCATTATTATGACCTGAGAGCCTGGGGTGGGGGTTGTTCCTAGCAGGTGGGAACCCAGAGGATAGAACCTGACCCCACTATCAGAAATGCCTCAGGTGTGTGCCAGGGCTCTGTCTGTGCCTTTTTTTTTAATGCTCACTTCCTGGGTGATCTCATCCAGTCTCATGGCTTTAAACACCATCTTTATGTTGATGATTCTGAAATTTTCATCTCCAGCCCAAATCTCTCTTCTGAATTCTAGACTTGTATATCCAGTTCCCATTCTATATCTCTACCTGGATGTCTAATAGGCATCTCTAACTTAACGTGAGCACAGCTGAGCTACTGATCCCCTTACCCTCCGCCAAGCCAACTGTACTTTCAGCCTTATCCATCTCAGTTGATGGCAATTCCAGTTGCTCAGCCCATAAATTTTAGAGCTATCCTTTATTTTTCTCTTCCTCTCCTACCACATATCCAATCTACCAGCAAATACCATTGGCTCCACCTTCAAAATCTGACCATTTCTCATCACCTTCAATGCTACCATCAGGTCTGAGCCACCATCATCTTTTACCTGGAATATTATAGTGGGCCCTTAAAGGATTTCCCTAGGGGCCGGCCGATTGGCTCAGTTGGTTAAGATCTCGTGCAAGAGTGCGAGCTCTGAGCAACAGGGGTCCAATGCTCGGCCCGAGCTGAGTTGCCACTGAGCTGCCAACAGGTGGCAGGATGGCTCAGCTAAAAAAAAAAGGATTTCCCTGCGTTCACTCTTTGTTTCTTTTAGTCTATTCTCAACATAGAAATTGGAGCAGTTCTGTTAAAACCTGAGTCAAATATGTCATTCCTCTGCTCAAATCATTCAAAAGGCTCTTCATTTCAGAGTTAAAGCCAAAATCCTTCCAATGGCCTACAATAGCCTATACAGTCTGGGCTCACACTGCCCCTTTGTCCTCCATTTTCTATCTCCCTCTTGCTTACACTACTCCATCTATACTCATCTTCTTATTGTTTCTCAAATACAAAAGGGATACTTCTATGTTAGGGTCTTCCCTGCCTTAGGCCATTCTCTCTGCCTGGGATGCCCTTCCCTTAGATATCTGTCCAGCTAACTCCTTCACCTCCTCATATCTTTGCTCAAATGTCATCTCAATGATCTCTACCCTTAATGCTCTATTTAATGCTACAACCCTCCTCCAAACTAGCCCCTGCCCACCCCGAGCACTTCCTATCACCCTTATCCTACTCAATTTTTTTCATAATGCTTAGAACTACCAGGCTATATTCAGTTGACCCTTGAACAACACGAGGGTTAGTGACACTGACCCCCAAGTGGTCAATAATCCTCATATAACTTGATTCCCCCCAAACTTAATTACAGTCTCTTCTTATCCACAGGAGATTGTTTCCAGGATCCCCACCCCCCATGGATAATAAAATTCACGGATGCTCAAGTCCCTTACATAAAATGGTGTAGAACAGTGCATATAGTCAGCCTTCCACATCTGCGGGTTCCCAGCCACTAATAAAAAATACTGTTTTTGATTCACAGTTGATTGAATCCACTGATGCAAGACCCGGAGATATGCAGGGTTGACTGTATATTTATTGAAAAAAAATCCATGTATAAGTGGGTTTGCAGAATTTAACCTGTGTTGTTTAAAGGTCAACTGTGATTTACTTATTTTTAAAGGGTTTATTTTTACTGTCTCCTTCCACTAGAATGTGAGCTCCAGAAGGATAGGGATTTTGTGTCTGTTTCGTTGACTACTGAATTCCCCAGTACCTAGAACAGTGTCTAGCACACAGTAGGCGCTCAGTAAATATTTGTTCAAAGAATGAATGAAAAGATGCCTAATTAAGTAAAGAAGATGAAAGAAAAGAAAGTAAGCCAGAAAAAGGTTTGAGGGAGGGCATTCCAATTAGAAGGGAGCATTATTAGCAAAGTCCCAGAGGTAAGAGAATAGAGCAAAATGAGTGAACTACAAGTCATTCAGTGTATCTGGAGAAATAAAATGAATGTGTCAGAAGAGGTGAGGGCATAGAGCTTACCATGTTGAAGGCATTGAATGCCATGCCAAGAAGCTTCGACTGTTCTACAGATCAATGGTCTCCCAAGTTTTGCACTATGCATTCTATCAGTACAAACATTTTAACATGTACTTCCAATCTATGTATGTATAGTTATATACTCTAAACATGTGTCATTATCAGTCTATGTATTAAAGATCAAAAAACTCATTCAACTAAACAACAAAAAAAAAATCCAATTCACAAATGGGCAGAGGACCTGAACAGACATTTCTCCAAAGATGACCAATAGACATATGAAAAGATGCTCAACATCACTAATCATCAGAGAAATGCAAATAAAAACCATAATGAGATATCACCTCACACCTGTCAGAATGGCCGTCATCAATAAATCAAGAAACAAAAAATGCTGACAAGGATGTGGAGCAAAGGGGACCCTCATGCACTGTTGGTGGGACTGCAAGTTGGTGCAGCCACTATGGGAAACAGTATGGAGGTTCCTCAAAAAATTAAAAATAGAACTACCTTATGACCCAGCAGTTCTACTTCTGGGTATTTATCCAAAGAAATTGAAAACACTAATTCAAAAAGAAATATGTACCCCTGTGTTCACTGCAGTGCTATTTACAATAGCCAAGATACAGAAACAACCAAAATGCCCATCAATAGATGACTGGATAAAGAAGAGGTGGTACATACATAAGATGAAATATTACTCTGCCATAAAAAATAATGAAATCTTACCATTTGCAACAACATGGATGGACCTAGAGGTTATTATGCTAAGTGAAATAAGTAAGACAGCGAAAGCAAATACCATACGATCTCACTTACATGTAGAATCTAAAGAACAAAATAAATGAACAAACAGAAATAAACTCATAGATGCAGAGAACAAACTGATGGTTACTAGATGGGAGGGATGTTAGGGGACTGGGTGAGAAAGGTGAAGGGATTAAGAAGTTCAAATTGGTAGTTACAGAAGAGTCATTGGGGATGTAAATTATAGTATGTGGAATATAGTCAATAATTTGAAAAAACTAGTGTCAGATGGGTACTAGACTTATCGGGGGGATCATTTCATAATTTAAATGTCTAACCAATATACTATACACCTGAAACTAATATAAAATAATATTGAATGTCAACTGTAACTTAAAAATAGAGGGATACAGAGTACAGCATAGGAATTATAGTCAATAATATTGTAATAACTATGTATAGTGTCAGATGGGTAATAGTCTTACTGGGGTTATCACTTTGTGAGGTATATAAATGTTTAATCACTATGTTATTTTGTACACCTCAAACATATTTTTAAAAAGATCAATATTAGTGCTGTTTAATTTCCTATTTATAAGATAAAAAATAAACATAAAATTCTAGTAAATCCCCTCACCTTATGGAA